CCATGCTGCTACTGATACTACAAAAGCTAGTGCAAATGCAGGACCAGCTACAGATACTCCTCGTGGCACTGCTGCTGCTGCGGCTACTGCTACTGCTACTGCTACTGCTACTGCTGCTGCTACCACTACCACTACCACTACCACCTACTACTACTACTACTACTACCACCACTACTACCACCACCACTACCACTACCACTACCACTACCACTACCACTACCACTGCTACTCCTGCTGCTCCTGCGGCGGCTGCTGCTGCTGCTGCTACTGCTACGGCTACTGCTACGGCTACTGCCGCTGCTACTACTACTACTACTACTACGACGAGTACTAGTACTAGTACTAGTACTACTACTACTACTACTACTACTACTACTACTACTACTAGTACCACCATGACTCCCACGATCACTAGCTCGGCTACGAAAGCAACAGGTCTGCAGTCTGGCAGACTCGGGAAACGAAGGCATTTGTACCGGCTTCCAGGCCCATTCCTGAGACGTTCATAAGCCTACTGTTTGACCAAGTCCGCATCCATGTTTTTGTTCGAAACCAAAGTCTTCCCGTCGCACTTCGAAATAGGGGTTGCCCTGACCTATCTGCCAGCAGGGCCCACGAAAGTCGAAATCTAGCACACCTGAAGGAAGAAGTCTAGAGAGGCATTCACATTCAAGTGAAATGTCTCGTGAGGATGAGCCAAGGAGGCGGTGGCAGCTTTGCACATAGCTCTCACATGGCTGTGCATGAAGCCTTGCCTTGCATTTCCACGGACGAAGGGTTTAAGTCTGAATTGCGTTGAGCTCTTGGTGTTCCCGCCAGTTTCTGCAGTGAAGCGCGAATCGCTGATTCAGAGCCCTTCCGTGCGCAGAGCCTGACACCCCCCCTGAACTCCTGAGCAGAGTGAGGACCCTACCTGTAGTCTCCATTGTAGTTCCTTTTTGGGGATACCTTATAAAATCCTTAATATATAATTGGTTAAACCAAAAAAAGGAACTACAATGGAGACTATAGGTACTATTGCTTCCGCTCAGACTCGCGTGTGTTGTCTGACGGGCCAAGGTCAGTTGGATGTCGCAATGGAACCGACTCTTCGGATGCATTGCTACGGATTAGGGTTTAGGGTTTAGGGTTTAGGGATTAAGGTTTGGGCTTCATAGAGAAGTACAGCATAAATTATTCAACGCTCTACTCCAATGGTTGAGACCCCTTCATCAGGGTTCAGGGCCTGTGTGTTGAGCAGAAGAGCGACAGGTGGTTCAACGACAAGACGCCGGATAGCCTGCATAACTGACCTTTGCAAAGAGGGTTCTTACGAAACCCATCAGGCATGACTATGGGCTTAAAAGCACACTGCTCGCAAGAGTCTTGCTTTCCATGCCGGCCCCACCTCTAAATCATGAACGCGACATCCATGGATGTGCTGAGGCATGCAATTTTTGCCACTACGACCACAGTCCAGAGGAGCGCCAGCTTCCAAAGCCTTCGTCACGGCCTGCCAAGGGCAAGCGTGACAAGGAGCTTCAGCCGCAAACATATTCACACACGAAGTCACTGAACCAAGAATTCTGTGGCATAACCCTAAAAACCTTAAACCTGTAGGCTGCGATCCAGACCCGTAGTGAACCAGTTATAGTGCGTTACGAACCGAGAGACCTCGTCTGGCGGAGTCCGAGTGGCGAGAGCGTAAACCTGTAGGCAATCATTAACCCAAAGGGTCCAAGTAATAGTATAACAATGTATAACGTATACTGTTGCGGCCCAAATACTGACTAAGTAACTACTAAATACCGATTAAGCACTTATTTTAATGGTACTTGGACCCTTTGGGTAGTTTTACGATGAACCTACATCCCAATTGTCCCAGGACAAAAGAAGAATAGCCGTCCGAGCCTTACCGCCCGTAAGGCTCCGAGAGCCTTCACGAGTTTTTGCTTGAGGGATGTTATGGGTTTAGGTGTAGGTAAGGTTTAGGGTTTAGGGTTGAGTGATCAACCACAATACTCGCAATCTTCCGGATGCGGATGGGGGTAGCACGGTCTGGTAATGATACCGTAGGTCATGAGGATCACCAGCACCGTGCAACTAGTACCAAACTGACAGTGGCAGAAGCTTTCTATTCTTCGTTTTCACCAACAGCAGGGCGTGTGTGGGTCGGTGCTGAAGCTTGGCTCAGGACCTTCTTGCAACTTCCAAGGTTTACAGCAACAAGTTCAGATACCATATCCATCATCGGAGCGCCCAAAGCACGCGAGTGCTCAGCTCGTGTGGAGCTAGATCGCATGAGAAAGCGCTTGCCCTAAACCCGAAACCCCAAACATCTTAAACCCCTCTCCGACACAAACCGAAGCCAGACTACGCCAAAGTCCTGGAATTGATCCAAGTGACTGAGAAGCTTGAAAGGACTAGCGACACGTGTCAGAGCAGAATGAACCTACAAGCAAGACATGTATCCGTGAAGTCGCAAATCCCAGTCAACATTAAAGTCACCAAGCAAAAGAGAAGCACTGAATCCGCGCACAAATCAATAGATCGCCCTTATCCATCGCATGGCTGCGCCTGAGCCACCTTCTCCGGAGACACCCGACCATCGGCCAAAAACACCGAAGGGCGAGCCGCGGATATCGGAGGCGAGAAGAATCCGGCACAGCTGAGTCGTGAAGATCGCATGACCTACGGCCCTAAACCCTAAACCCTAAACCCTAAACCCTAAACCCTACACCCTAAGGCTCAGCATTGCGATCATGTCAGGGGACTCGGGTCTTTGTTTTTGTGCGTGAAGTTTCTGGATTCGTGGGTGAGCATGCAGTGCGACGTGGGTGTAGGCGTAGGGCCCACAATCAGAAATCATGGGTTTAGAGTCTCAGCGTTCATGGCGCTGGGGTTCAAGATCTGCCCTTTCGTATTCAGGAGCTTTCACCTTCAACCCTTGACCCCCAAACCCTGCAACCCGTAAGCTCTGAACCCTGAACCACAACCCTCATGCCCAAACCCGCCCCCCCCCTAAACCCTAAACCCTAAACCCGCCCCCGCCCCCCCTCCTGACCACCCCCGCCAGATCAGAGAAGATTCAAAGCAGCATGCAGCCGGAGGCTTCTTTGGGACATTCTCGGTTTAGAGTTTAGGGTTTTAGCGTTTAGGGTTATGGGGTTTAGGGTTTGAGGGTTTAAATTAGGGTTTAGGGTTTAGGATATCTAGGATATTTTCAGGTGGGTAGTTACCGCTATAGGAGCCTTAAAGGAAGGTCTAGATACCTTATAGAGGCATTATGGAAGCCCTATATACCCTAAACTCACCACCTGTAGTTTCCTGTAACTTGGGGTTTAGGGTTTAGGGCTGAGGGGGCTCTTGTATACCCTACCACTGCACTGTCACTACACCCTGCTTTTGCTGTAAATTTTCTAGTCCAGCGGCGCTTGCCGCTGCCTCCCAAGGGTCGTTAGTGCCGGACAGCACCCCCGAGTCAGGATTGAAAGTAGACATGTTTAATTAATATAGGGGCCTTAATAATTAGAATACGGTTTCGGGGATATTATACTCTATCTATAATAAGGAACCCCCAAAACCCTATTCTAACTATTCAGGCCCCTATACATTCGACATGTTTAATTATTCATCCTGTCCTGCCTAGTCCCTGGTTTCGCCCCTACACTTTTGGAGATCGGCTGCAGGCTTTTGCTCCTGAGCCTCCCGTGAGCCAAACTGAACCCATGATTCTGAGACATTTTCAGGTGGGTAGTTACCGTTGTAGGAGCCTTATATAGAAGGTCTATATACCTTATAGAAGCCTTATATACCCTAAACTCCCCACCTGTAGTTTCCTTTGACATGATTGTTGTGTCCACACGAAAGCCGGCGGAAGTACGACGCCTTTACCGCGCGAGGTGTGCTGTCCCAGCATTGGACTACGTAAGCAAGCGGCTTCGTTTTGAACGGTACGGTCTAGACCAGACAGAACATGTCCCCCCAAAAACTGGTAGTAGCGTACTATCCAAGCCCGAACCATTGCCATGATGACGAAACCCTTAACCCCCCAGGTACCTACTATAATTATATAGGGTACTAGAGCCCCTAGGGCCCTATATAGTAGGTACCTGGGCGGTTAGAGAAACTTCCTCGAGCAGATGGGCCCGGACTGAAGTGATTTGGGTTCGTTCTTCGTATCTTCAGGCGACAAGATCCCACAGCTGAAGGACAAGACGCCAAGTTGCTGTGCGAGGCATCAAAGTTCTAGCTACTCTTTGGGTGTCGGGGAAAGTATACCAGAGCACTGGGTAGGCTACTCGGATGCTTGCAAGTAAGTAAGGTTGGGTGCGGTTTAGGGTTTAGGGTTTAGGAACTGAAAGGCCAACCTAGCATGGCACCATTTCGTCAGCTTCACCAGAGATTTCGAGCTTCCACCTCTGCCGCTGCAAAACGCGAACACCTGTTGAATAAGGGGACTAGTGACTAGGATCGATTAAGATCGCGTGTGTGGGTTGTACCATCTGAACAGTTCACGTTTGAAACGCTGAAGTTCAAATTAGGACATGCTGAACGCCGGACCCTGGACCACCCGAAGGCCAAGCCCTCACTTCCTTGGTGGCTGTGGGGGTTTGCAGGCTCGCGGATGTCGGAAATCGGTTGGAAAGATGGCTGGACCGACACTCTCCCGAACAGAGGAAGGTTGATTTTTCGGTGCAGTCGGGTTTCTGTTTTGGTAAAACGCGCTGAGACAGTAGGGTGGGTGTCTCCGACTGCCAGCATGGATGAATCATGTCTAGCTTGCATCAAGCCTTCACGCTCGAAGCACATTCGGTCGTTGCGATGATGTAACTGTCGTGATTACAGGCTCACTCACCGGGGGCCTGCACTGCGCTCAGGCCTTGTGTTTTTGTTTAGATAGTGTAGGGTCTGAAATATTTAGCGTCAGTTTTAGGGCTATTCTAACTAAATGAGAAACTGTTAGGCTAAGGAGTATAGTATTTAACCTGGAGCTGTATCAGCTGATGATAATGGCTTTTCAAGCCGTCGAATAGTTGTGAGTTGCCACAGGACAGAAAGCGGTCATCAAGCCGTGGCATGGTTGTGAGTGGCAGGATGGGCGGCTGATGCTGATGATGCTGGCTTTCTGGCCGTGGCCAGCATCAGCATCAGCCGCCCCTCCTGCAACCACTCACAGCGATTCGGCTGCTTGAAAGTCAGCATCGTGAGCATCCGGCGCCACTCTTGCGGTGACTTGCAGCCATTCCATGGCCTGGAAACCAGCATTATAAGCATCCGCCGCCCTCGTGCGGCCACTGACAGAGCACCAGCCACCCCCCTGCGGCCACCGGTAGCGATTGCACGGCTTGGATGCCAGCATGAAGAGCATCAGGCTGCGATCCTGTTCTCGTTGTTTCATGGGAAACAGGACTTCAGCGTCTGAAGCAGAGTCCCAACATCCAAGCTTTAGCTCGACCCTATTTCGGCCTCTCAAGACTCCCGCCCTACTTCCGTTGCCTGTTTCCCTCGCACAACTAGCTAGCTCCGTAGATGCTAGCTTGGTGGACACTGTTGGTAGCGGAAGGTACTCCAGAATGATGGTAGTACGACGGTTCCGTATGGGGGTTTCCGAAAATTAGGGGACCCTAATATCGTACCCTAAATAGTAGGATCCCTATTATGAGGACCCCTAAATAAGGTACCCCTTATTTTCGGAAACTCCCGTATGATTCAGGTTTGAAGCATCAGTTGTGACGAATCGCACCCCTGTCCGGACTAAACGTCCTGAAGTTATGGTAGGGGCCTTAATAGTTGTAATATTTTTTTTTTTTTTTTGGGGGGGGGGTTCCTTATTGTAATTATTGTATAATATACTACCCCCAAACCCTATTCAAATTCTTAAGGCCCTTTTATTACTTGTAAAACCCTTCCAACCCCGCTATGAGTTTGCTCTCGAGCCGCTTTGCCCTAGACCGCCGAGCTCAAATTCTCAAAGCCATTCGTTATGGAGGTCTGAATAACAAGTAATTATTTGATTTATACTATTCCTGGGGCTGCCTGGTTACAGATCTACCCCCAAGCCCATCTTCTAATTCGCTCTAGTGCTGCATTGATGAACCTGCAAGTTGAAAACCATTCTCAATCGGTTGTACAAGGCCGCGGTCGCATCTTCTAGAGCACCTAGACATGCCCTGTACAATCAGTATAAAGCCGGGTTGTATCGTGATAGGTCAGTGATAAACTTAAATGGAGCCCACAAGCGGTGTAAACCGTAAACACCATTCGACTCTACAACTAGACCCTAGGCTTGAAAACCCCGAAACAAAGTAAGGAGTGCCATGCCTTCCTGGCATTCCGCCTCCGCTTTGTCTTCGGCGCAACGGCTGCCTCTATCGCTGTTGTGAGGCAGAGTTCAGGGTGTAGGGTTCAGGGTTGGGGGTTGTAGGGCTCTTCCAGGTATGCTCAGACCTTCAGTCGATGGCGCAAGCCCTGATGCAAACAAGGGCTTTTAGATTGATCCTCGACTGGTTGAGGGTTCAGGGTTTGGGGTTGATCCCCGAAGCTTGGTATTCTCATGTGGGAGTTTGAAAATAATGGGTACCTTATTTTGGTGTCCTTATAATAAGGATCCTACTATTTAGGGTACTATATTGGGGTCCCCTAGTTTCGGAAACCCCCATGTGATTGCTTTCTTCGCTTGCCGTCCGGTCCGGACATGAGCTCGGGGTTGGAGGGCCAGGCATAGCTGTAGAGCCCTGCTTCCACAGAGGGTTCAGGATTCAGCTGCACCGGTGCTGTTGCAACGGTTTTTAGGACTTTGTGTCGGAGGATTCGGGTTAAGGTTGCACCTTGTTGCGCTTAATTTGTGCGTTACACGGGCCTTCATTTCCTGCCTTATTTGGGCATTCATTTGGTTCTTAC